GAGTGCCCTCCCACATCTGGCTTTTGCTCACACAGTTCCTCTGCCTGGTGGGATTTTGGTGGTGGTGGTGGTGGGGTACTGGGAATCAAACTCAAGATCTCTCTCAGGAGGCTGAGGCAGGAGGGTCGTTATGAGTTTGAGGCCAGCCCGGGCTACAAAGTGAGCCCAAGCCTGAACTGCATAGAGAGACCCTGTCTCAAAAAGAAAAAAAAAAACCAAAAAACAAAAAGAGAAGCAAAACCCAAAAAATCCTTACATCTCAGGCAGGTGCTGCACCACTGAGCTAAATCCCCAGCCCCTGCAAGGAGGATTTTCTTATCCTCCTGGAAAATATTTTTTTTCCCCTGGTACCGGGAATCGAACTCGGGGCCTTGCACTTGCCAGGCAGGTGCTTGTGCCACTGAGCTATATCCCTGACCCCCTAAATTTCTTTTTTGTTGTTTTTATTTTTAGGGTTTTTGTGTGTTTTGTTTTGTTTGAGACAGGGTCTCACTATGTAGTTCAGGCTGGCTTTGGACACATTATGTAGCCCAGGCTAACCACAAACTCACAGTGATGCTCCTGCTTCAGCCTCCTGAGGGCTGAGATCACAAGTGTGTGCCTCTATGCCTGGCTCCTCCTAGTAAATTTTATTCATTTATTTTATTTTTGGTTTTTCTCCGGTACCGGGAACCAAACTCACGACCTTGCACTTGCCAGGCAGGCGCTTTTGCCACTGAGCTAAATCCCCAGCTCCCTAGTAAATTTTATTCAAACCTCGGAGCCCAACTCAAATGTGCCCCAGAGATGAGAACAGGGCCCTCAGGGAACATTTTCTGATCAAACAATTCCTATTCTTAATTCCAAAAGGCCAATTAGGGTGTAGTTCTGAATTAGTTTTTCTTTAAAACAGAAGGAAGTATTACACCGGAGAGAAATCAGAGGGTGGACATCAAGTAATTCTGCTCAGAGGATGTACAGAGTTCAAGAGCAACAGTGGACAGGCCAGGGATGGTGCTGTAGCTGCAAGTGACAGCAGAGCTAACAGGAACTGCCTCTGGCTGTCCTTCCTTCCTCTCTCCCATTTTTCCTTCCTTCCTTCGTTGGTGCTGGGGATTGAACCCAGCGCCTTCTTACTAAGCTACATCCCTAGCCCTTTTTAATTTTTTTTGAGATCTTCCTAAGTAGCCCACCATAGGCTCAAACTTGTAGTTTTCCAGCTTTAGCCCCTAATAACCCTACACTCCCGCACCCCTGTGGTACTGGAGATCGACACTGAGTTACGTTTCCAGCTTTTTCTATATTCTTTGTGTCTTGATAAATTGCTGAGTGTCCCAGGCTGGGCTCAAATTTGACATCCTCCTGCCTCAGCCTCCCAGAGTGCTGGGATTACAAATATGTGCTACTATGCTCAGCTAACCCCTGAAAATTCTGCAACCCTCCTGTTTGTGCAGTGCAGGCTACTGGTTTATAGGATAACTCTAACCCACAGAATGGGAAGGACCTGTCTAAAGCTGTGCAGCCAGGAAGTAGCAGACTCCAGTCTCCAACTTAGGGAGCCCAAATCCTGAGGCTGAGCCCTACGCATTCAGGGCTCTGGCCTGGAAGGAGACAACCCTACCTCAGGCCTGTAGGGGTGGCCAGGGGTCTGAGGTTGTGGGATGTCAGACTATCTTCCTGCCTCAACCAGACCCAACCCCAACTATAGTGGTTCTTGGCTGACCTTAGGTGAGGAACCTGTATCTGCGGCCAAGTACTCTCACATGTGATGTGGTGGGGAGCAGCGAGCATGTAACAAACTCACAGAACCTAGGTGGCAAAGAGGTGGACCTGCACGGCTATTGTTAATGTGCCGGTCCAAAATGGTGATGGAGCTGGGGATGGTGGTGCACGCCTGTAATCCCGGTACTCGGGAGGCTGAGGCAGGGTCGTTGTGAGTTTGAGGCCAGCCTGGGCTACAGAGTGAGCTCAAGGCCAGTCTGAATTGTATAGCGAGACCCTGTCTCAAAAAGACAGAAAAAAAAAAAAAAGACAAAATGGGGCCAGGGATATAGCTCAGTGGCACAATGCCTGCTTGGCAAGCATGAGGTTGTGAATTCGATTCCCAGTACCAAAAAAAAAAAAAAAAAGATTGAGAGACAAAATGGGGGTGGGAGATGTGAGGGCGATCTGGCTATGACATCTGCCACCCGGCTGATCCCCAGGGTGATCCGGCTGAACTGGCTGGCTAGTGGGTGTCCCGGCCCTCCCTCACCGCTCCGTGTGCGTCCCTTTGGAAGCTGTCCCTCCCAACGCTGTCACCTGGTTGAACAGGGTGGGCACCCTCCATAGAGGAGATCGTTCCTGGTCAAAGCTACCAGGGCTGTGCTCCCCGCTGGAGCCTCCAAGCAAGCTCTCACCACCACGTGGAATTCTCTGATCCACATGGATTTCCTTACACAGCACATAGCCGTATCCTCTTAAACTAGCAGGGGGCCCCTTTGTGACGCCTAGCACCTCCGCTGGACATGGGAGGTGGGCAGAGACACTGGCCCAGCCTGGGGTTCCAGCTCTGACTCAGGTTCCCAAGCCCGGAGGCTCCCGGCCAGCACTCACCCGAAGCGAAGGCAGGCTGGACAGTTCCCCATGCAGCGTGGTCAGGTTGTTGTGGCTCACGGACAGGTGCTCCTGGGCCGGGACAGGGGCACAGAGGCTCAGAGGGGAGCAGCGGGTAGGGGGGCGTCCAGGGCCCCATCTGCCCTCCCACTCTGCACTACCCCGGAGCGCCCTGCAGCCCAAACCACTCCTGCAGCCTCCCTCCCTCCCTCGCACACCCAGCCCCTTTGCGCACTCCCGGGATGGAGTGTTCCCTCCGCCAGCTTCTCACAGCTGTGCTCTTCCTCTGTGTCCTTCGCCTTCCCTGCAGCCGTGCCCGCCTAGCCCGGCCCCATTCACAGGGACCCTCCGACTGCCCGAAGCCCCTTACCAGCTTCTGCAGGGCGGCCAGCTCTTCAGGCAGGTAGCAGAGGCCTGTGCGGTTCAGTTTTAGCCATCGCAGGCTGGTCATGGCCTTGACATTCTCAGGAAAGTAGCCACCCTGGTGGGGGCATGTCAGGATGAGGCTCATTTGAGTGAAGGAGCCCCTGCCCCCTCTGCTCCCTGTGCTGCTCCCCGCTAACCCGTGGGAGTCTTTGGGGTAAAAACAAGCCAACTCACCAGCTCTGAGACCCTGGACAGGTCACCTTGCACTGGTTTTTTTTTGTCTGTTTTTTTTTTTTTTTTTTTTTTTTTTTTGAGACAGGGCCTCGCTGTGCAGTTCAGGCTGGCCTTGAGCTCACTACTTTGTAGCCCAGGCTGGTCTTGAACTCACCACAATCCTCCTGCCTCAGCCTCCCGAGTGCTGGGATTATAGGCGTGCACCACCACGCCAGGCCACGCTGTCACTTTGTGTCTCACTTTCTAATAAAAGTCTCCATGTGACAAGATGCTAACCGGAGGTTTATCTCTGCTCCTGGCCTCTGAGCCCTGGGAAGGCCAGGATGAAACCGGCTTCTTTTACAGGACATCCCAGCACCCACTTCGTGTTCAGCTTGGCTCACATTCCCGATCGGGCCACCTGGGGTCCCAGCGACTGCCAAGGCTCCACCGTCCCCCACGCCCTGCCCTGTACAGCCATCATTCACTTGTTTATTCACTCTTCATGTCCCAAAGCCCCCCACGGCCACAGGCGCTGTCGCCCCGAGCCCTCCTCGCCTCGCTTCCTGCGGCCCTGCGGCACTGACGCTCGCCCCACTTCCCTCTCCCGCCCGGACTTGGGCGGGGCTGGCTCCTCGGCCCGGACCTGGCCCGGACAGCAGCTGCCCGGACAGCTGTCCCCCGCGACCCGCACCCCTGCCCTGCGCTCTCCCCGCCGCCGATCTCGCCGCACCGCAGGCACGCACACGGTCTGCTCTCCAGCCCCTGCCCGGGTGAGAAAGCCCGGGTTCTGCGAGGGGAAGCGACTCGCCGAGG